TGCTGGCTGAGGAATTCTGGGACTTGAAGTCCACAGGTTGTAAAGGGGCCACAGCTGCCCATCCTTGCACTAGGCCAAACTGGCTCTCATCATGCTGTGCTTTGGGGTCACTTCTGCATTAGGACTAACTGTGACTTCATGCTATACAACCAACAAAGGAATAAAATGAAGAGCACAAGAGGAATAGGAAAAAAAAATTCATATCACACAATGATCACAGGGCCAAAAAATGCACAATTAACACGTGGCAATGGCCATTATCTCTATACAATATCCTCATTCCTAGTCTACACACACCATAAAGTGGGTCACAAGAAAGAAGCTAAAATGTTTCTTCTATTAAGAGGTGGTCAATTGCACCAGTTGAAGACTGAGGCAACTGTCTTTAATGCCCCAGCAGTGCAATCTCAGTCCCTAAGAGGTTACAGGCAAATTGGCAAGAACAAAATATAAAAGAAGAATTTCCTTTCCTGTTATATAACCATCTATCTCCAGAACTCATTGGACTGGATCAGCAGAAATCAAATCATGACCACTGTGCTATTATTTGCATCTTGCAATGACTTTCTTGAAACACAAGGAATTGGATCAGATCACCCGTTGGCCAATAGAAAAATTGGGAAATTAAGATATCAAATTTGTAAAACAAATCGTAAAACATTTTAAGCAATATGATTCCTTTATATTCAATTAAATAACATTGTTTCTTATGGGCAGTGCCCAATAGTGAGTCTTTCATTTTTAGAAAGATACATAATTGAAAGCATATATATTTGCTGATAGTATAAAGGATGATGTTCACTTGATTTCTTTAGAAGATATAAATTACATAGATAGTTTATAGAGTGTAAAAATAATATGAGAGGTATAACATTATAAAATATTATAATAAAATATTTATTCTAAAACCAAAAGAGCTTTAATTTATTTCTAACAGAGAGCTTAATAAGAATAAGAAACACTCAATTTTAATGAAAAATAAAATGAAGTATTTTCCTTATAATAATGAAAGGCCTGGAATATACCAGTAAATTGTTTTTCCTTTTGTAATACTTTAACTTTTAGTTCTGGAATAGAATAGGAATTTCCTTTGTGATCCTAGGAGGACCTCTAGTGGTGAAATGTTAGAATTTATATATCAACGGGTAATAGGGAACATTGAAAAGTTTATAAGTTATATGTCTTGATTATCAGCAAATTAGATTATATTACACAATTTTTAATTAGATTTGAAAAAAAATATTTAAAGATTTTTAAGAAGAGATTCTCAATTGGCAGCCATTCATGTTTCCTGAAATAAAAATAAATCTGCAAGTTCTCCATCAAAATTGTTTAAAAAAGGAGATTCTACTCCAATTTTATAACCGTTTTGTGTAGTACACCATATACAAATGTATATATTTGTTGCAAATCATGCATGAGCTCACACATCTTGCATATGTGAAACCATCGCAGGATCATCACACTACTGACATGTTTGTCTCATATTTATCTTTTAAAATGTTGATATTTACAATATTCAGGAGCTATTTATATCATAATCCAGAAAACTGAATATATTTATATGGAAAGTGAAAGTTCCCATTTATTTTTTGTCAGTACTATATGAGAATTCCAGGGTATTCCTGCTTGCACATATAAGTTTTCTTCAATTTAATTATGGTAACACAATGCAAAAAAAAATAAATGTATTTCTCCTTTAATTAGACTGACTTTGATAGAGGAAAAATCCAGTTATAATTTTTTTCCATGTTAGGTATTGAGAGGCCTGGGGAAAAAAAACAACAAACTACCCACTGAATTGACTCAAAGAAGGTTGGACTGCTTTTAGGATCTTGGATCTGGTTGCATAGAAGACTGGGTGGCCCTTTCAAACCATATTAATTATTTTCAGTTTCTCTAAATGGAGTATTATTTATTTATTTTATCAAGTTTTAAAGTTTCCCGTCTCTCTCTCATAGTGGGATTCTGGATGGGGTACAGATAAAATAGTAAAACATAAGAACAGTATATAAAATTTGAAATATAAAAAGGTAACGGTGAATACTGCATTCGGTTTGGGTTACCATGATATAAAAAAATGATGTTGAGACTCTGGAAAGAGGCAGAGAAGAGCAACAAAAATGATTAGGGGTTGGAGGCTAAAAAAAAACAAAACTAGTTGGAGTACCTGAAAATGTCTAGTCTAGTGAAAAGAAGAAGTGGGGGTGACGTCATAACAGTGTTCCAATGTCTAAGGGGTTAACATAAAGCACCTGAAGGTGGGACAAGAAGCAATGGATGGAAACTAATCAAGGGGAGTGCCAACCTAGAAATAAGGAGAAATTTCCTATTTGAGAGAACAATTAACCAACGGAACAAGTTGCCTCCAGAAATTGTGGGTGTTCCATCACAGATGTTTTTTAAGAAGAGATTGGACAGCAATTTGTCCAGAATGATATAGAGTCTCTTGCTTGAGCACAGGGTTGGACAAGAGGACTCCCAAGGTCCCTTCCAACTCTGTTATTCTGTTAATTAAGAAGCAGTGTGGTTAAATTTGACAAATAGAAATATTCTTTCTCTTGAAGGATGGGATTTGTTATTTGGTTGGCAGGCATATTTAATTTTTGATAAAAAAGTAGATAGAATTTTTAAGGCTCATATTTTGAGAAGTGCTTTACTTCGAGTGTGGAAGAAGTATTATTATGGATTAAATTATAAGATTCCGATCTGGACAAGTCCAGGACAGATGATAGAGGGGATATCTAGGGGAGTTAAATTGGATAAAGTTTCATATAAAGAATTACTTTTGCCGGTAGGACAAGACNTGCTGGCTGAGGAATTCTGGGACTTGAAGTCCACAGGTTGTAAAGGGGCCACAGCTGCCCATCCTTGCACTAGGCCAAACTGGCTCTCATCATGCTGTGCTTTGGGGTCACTTCTGCATTAGGACTAACTGTGACTTCATGCTATACAACCAACAAAGGAATAAAATGAAGAGCACAAGAGGAATAGGAAAAAAAAATTATATCACACAATGATCACAGGGCCAAAAAATGCACAATGGCCATTATCACTATACAATATCCTCATTCCTAGTCTACACACACCATAAAGTGGGTCACAAGAAAGAAGCTAAAATGTTTCTTCTATTAAGAGGTGGTCAATTGCACCAGTTGAAGACTGAGGCAACTGTCTTTAAAGCCCCAGCAGTGCAATCTCAGTCCCTAAGTGGTTACAGGCAAATTGGCAAGAACAAAATATAAAAGAAGAATTTCCTTTTCTGTTATATAACCATCTATCTCCAGAACTCATTGGGCTGCACCAGTAGAAATCAAATCATGACCACTGTGCTATTATTTGCATCTTGCAATGACTTTCTTGAAACACAAGGAATTGGATCAGATTGCCTGTTGGCCAATAGAAAAATTGGGAAATTAAGACATCAAATTTGTAAAACAAACCGTAAAACATTTTAAGCAATATGATTCCTTTATATTCAATTAAATAACATTGTTTCTTATGGGCAGTGCCCAATAGTGAGTCACTTTCATTTTTAGAAAGATACATAATTGAAAGCATATATATTTGCTGATAGTATAAAGGATGATGTTCACTTGATTTCTTTAGAAGATATAAATTACATAGATAGTTTATAGAGTGTAAAAATAATATGAGAGGTATAACATTATAAAATATTATAATAAAATATTTATTCTAAAACCAAAAGAGCTTTAATTTATTTCTAACAGAGAGCTTAATAAGAATAAGAAACACTCAATTTTTAATGAAAAATAAAATGAAGTATTTTTCTTATAATAATGAAAGGCCTGGAATATACCAGTAAATTGTTTTTCCTTTTGTAATACTTTAACTTTTAGTTCTGGAATAGAATAGGAATTTCCTTTGTGATCCTAGGAGGACCTCTAGTGGTGAAATGTTAGAATTTATATATCAACGGGTAATAGGGAACATTGAAAAGTTTATAAGTTATATGTCTTGATTATCAGCAAATTAGATTATATTACACAATTTTTAATTAGATTTGAAAAAATATTTAAAGATTTTTAAGAAGAGATTCTCAATTGGCAGCCATTCATGTTTCCTGAAATAAAAATAAATCTGCAAGTTCTCCATCAAAATTGTTTAAAAAAGGAGATTCTACTCCAATTTTATAACCGTTTTGTGTAGTACACCATATACAAATGTATATATTTGTTGCAAATCATGCATGAGCTCACACATCTTGCATATGTGAAACCATCGCAGGATCATCACACTACTGACATGTTTGTCTCATATTTATCTTTTAAAATGTTGATATTTACAATATTCAGGAGCTATTTATATCATAATCCAGAAAACTGAATATATTTATATGGAAAGTGAAAGATCCCATTTATTTTTTGTCAGTACTATATGAGAATTCCAGGGTATTCCTGCTTGCACATATAAGTTTTCTTCAATTTAATTATGGTAGCACAATGAAAAAAAATGTATTTCTCCTTTAATTAGACTGACTTTGATAGAGGAAAAATCCAGTTATAATTTTTTTCCATGTTAGGTAATGAGGGGCCTGGGGAAAAAAAAACTACCCACTGAATTGACCCAAAGAAGGTTGGACTGCTTTTAGGATCTTGGATCTGGTTGCATAGAAGACTGGGTGGCCCTTTCAAACCATATTAATTATTTTCAGTTTCTCTAAATGGAGTATTATTTATTTATTTTATCAAGTTTTAAAGTTTCCCGTCTCTCTCTCATAGTGGGATTCTGGATGGGGTACAGATAAAATAGTAAAACATAAAAAACAGTATATAAAATTTCATATAAAAAGGTAACGATGAATACTGCATTCGGTTTGGGTTACCATGATATAAAAAATGATGTTGAGACTCTGGAAAGAGGCAGAGAAGAGCAACAAAGATGATTAGGGGTTGGAGGCTAAAAAAAAATAAACTAGTTGGAGGAACTGAAAATGTCTAGTCTAGTGAAAAGAAGAAGTGGGGTGACGTCATAGCAGTGTTCCAATGTCTAAGGGGTTAACATAAAGCACCTGAAGGTGGGACAAGAAGCAATGGATGGAAACTAATCAAGGGGAGTGCCAACCTAGAAATAAGGAGAAATTTCCTATTTGAGAGAACAATTAACCAATGGAACAACTTGCCACCAGAAATTGTGGGTGTTCCATCACAGAAGATTTTTAAGAAGAGATTGGACAGCAATTTGTCCAGAATGATATAGGGTCTCTTGCTTGAGCACAGGGTTGAACAAGAGGACCTCCAAGGTCCCTTCCAACTCTATTATTCTGTTAATTAAAAAGCAGTGTGAAAACTAATTAAAGGGCAGGGAGAGGGCTTTCAGGGTGCTGACCAGCCCCACAGCTGCTTGCTCTGATATAAGCCACAGGCAAGGATCAAACATGGTAGAGCCTTGTTTTTACACCTTTCTGAAAGGACACTGGGGGCCTGCATCACCTATGTGGGTAGAAAAATATTATTATTACACCATAATAATACATTATGGTGTATTATTTCTATATTAACATAAGTTGACAATTCCACTTTTCAAAGCTTTTAAATTCTCCACACACACACACACAAACACACACACACACACACATGCATGTATATTGAATTTATATATAACTAGCTGTACCTGGCCACGCATTGCTGTGGCTCAGTCTGGTTAAATGGAAAAGAAAGAAAAGAGAAAGTGCACGTTTGTAATATGTTTAATTTCACAATGCTTGTGGGTATACAATATTTTTTGTTGTTCCATTGTCTGTGCAGATATAGATATAAATCGTAGCGTGTGTTGCTTTTACGTCCAACAGATGGCGCTGTTTTTCAAAAAAGCATGTTTTTACCTGTCACAGGTGTGACATCTATATAATAGTAGGTATATAAAAACATGCGCGTATTCGAATGCAACGTTGTGTCAAAATTTCAAAGCAATCGGTGAAGAACTTTCGGAGATTTAAGATTTTGAACAAACGAACATTTACATTTTTATTTATATAGATATGCAAATTAGATGAAAGATGAGCTGCTCCTTGAAAGACTGCTTCACAAGCAAAAACCTGCATATGTAAATGGTTCAGGAAAGTGCAAAATATGTAGTTCTAGTATATAGATGTGCCATTTGTATTTTCCCTTACAGAATAATTATTAAAAAGGATACATTGGTTATACAAAATGTGGGCCCAGAAGATGAGGGAGTGTACACTTGTGAAGGAACTACGTTGCTGGATAGCGCCACAGACGATTCCCGTGTAATTGTCCTGGGTAAGTGAATTTTGTTCTTCTGTTCACAAACTAATTAATATTGCCAGTTTAAATCCCTTTGGATTTTGGGGGAAACCTATCCTTAGTGCATCTCTGCAAATTAATGGCTTCAATTCCCAATTCTGGGCCCAATATCAGTGTTAGTTTGGTTCACTAGAGTGAAATTCCCTAAGTTCTCACATAATCTTCAGATTTTTCCCAATCTCCTTTTTTGACTGGATGTAAAAGTAATGAAGATGTCAAGGTTACATGCATTACATAAACAGAGATATTAAAACACTTTCATTTTTGAATTTACTGTATTTCTTTAACCAATTCCTAAATGTAATTTTATTTCTTTAGTCATGTAATTCAAGGCAGTGCACATAATATCCCCATCTCTCCAGGGTAAACCAGACAAGAGGCAAGACTAAATGAGCTAAATCTAATTTATTGTGAGGCTACATTAACAGAATCTTGAAAATCTGAAAATACAGACTTCCCCCACCACTTTTTTTTATTGTTTCATGCATTAAGGCCTGGTCTTTTCTAAGTTTCTTTCTCTGATGGTTAAGCCATTGGGGGTCCTGCCTCCCTTGCAGCATCTCTTCCCTTCTTCCCCCAAGGTCATTCCAACATGCCATTACACCATCCAAGGCATTTACCAGAGCCAGGCTGGCTTAACTTCAGCAAACTGAATCTTCATAGTAGAGGCATGACATAATGCTACCCATGGAATTGAGATTTTAAGGATTGAGCATGAAGAAAATACTGCAAATAATTATAATAATTAATAATTGCAAATGCAGCATGGAAACAAATCAAACATCCCTTGCAAATATTTGACAGGAGATAAACAGTGTATGAATTGATTAAATAGAATGTGTCAAAGGAAATGTATGCCACAAAGTTCAAACCTGACCTCCAGGGAGAAGGAAGATAGAAAAATAATAGCTCAATTAAACATATTAAACAAAGCTGTTTGATTATAATTCCAATAGCTCCATTTAATATTACAATGACTCAGTATACTGTCACTTAAATTATTTTACCTTGAATGTGGATATCCTGGCTTTTCCAGCTGTTAAAAGCATTGTTCTTTATTAAGTTTGAACACATTTTCAGATATTTTTATAAAGAGCCTTGCGTAATTTTGATTCATTTATAGCTGGGTGAAATTAATCTTTTCCTTTTACCTCCCTGGAATTGCATTAAAATCATATTTAGCTGCCAATTTCATCACAGGACCGAACATGCTATATCTATTCTTTTAGCCTTAGCAGAAAACTGGGTTTTCTTACTGGGTTTTTTAAAAAGATCTTGGATGTCTATTTCTAACAATCTTTAATAGTCAAGTATTTATGTAGTATTCTTCTCTACATTTATTTCACTTCTTTCCTGATACTAGGGCAGTTGCTTAATAAGAATCTGATTGTGGCTGAGACAAGAAATAAAATTTGACCTTTGTTGGGAACTTTTCTAGCTATTACAGCAGAAATATATATTTTTCTCTGTTAGAGCAGAAAGAAATATATGTCATACATAAAAAAAATACATCCAAATTACCACTAGAATAGAAATGAATTTTGCTTGAAGCCAGTATGGAACTAGAAAAAAGAAAGCCCCTTATTCCTTAAAACTAGAGGTCTATTTGAAATCATCTCATTCTTTTGGTTCCCAGCAATCCTCAGAAGTGAATTTTCAGAAATGATTCCTACTGTGTTCTGTTTTTGTTGCTGTTTTGTTCTACGGTTCACATTTGCAGCTTTCCAGATAAATTCACCTGTTTCTACACTATCTGTCAATCTTTAAAGCATTGCAGGGGTAGATACAATTACTTTCCTTTGATGTAAGGATAAAAAAACATCAGACAGCTCTTGCTGACTGAGAGTGAGCTTTTTTCCCTCTACACTATTAGGAAACATGAAAGGCTATGGGTACAGCTGATAATATCAAAAAGGGCTCCATGATTTGTGCTGTATTTTCTTGTGAAAGACACATGCATGTTGAAAGAGGAAGCAAGACAGATAATCAGCCAGTCTGACGGAGTAATTCTGTTACCTGCAAGCATTGGGAATTGTGCTCTTCTGCCACTGAAGGACACCAAACTGAAGATGGGCTGAGTAGTGCTTTTTATTCTGACGGCTTTGTGTGGTTTCTTCTGAAAAACAGATGTAGCCGCTGTTTTAAAGCACGGTTGAGTTTGAGAAGGTAGCTTCTCCAAGATTCTTAAGATGAACTTGTCAAGCCCTTTTGAAGTTTATTCTAATTCAAACATAGTGTCAGGGCTTCAACTAGTAATAAAGAAGGACCAAATGACAGTAATTGTGAACAACCTTACTACTTTACCACAGGTAGTAAAGAACAGCTTTCGTACTTGAATCAAAAAAGCAACTTATGTAAAGTTCGACAGATAGCATTATATAAGCCCAAGTTATTCCACTGTGTGGGATGATTCTTCTTTTTTCTTGTAGAGACTGTTGCTGAGAGCTGGCAATTCATTTATTTTATACATAGCAGGCTAATTGATCAGTTTTAAAGACATAGCATATATTTAGATGTTCCAAATGCCACCCCCCACACACACACAAAGCAACAGCTGAGGGATGTTAGAGGTTTTCTAACTCATGTCCACTTGTTCCAGGATTGAATTCCTTCTAGCCATTTGATCTGTTCTGGATCCTTTGCTGCTCTTTTTTGGCCTTGCAATGCTTGATCCTACCTCCATTTGTTTACTTGGTAATTTCTTGACTGGTGAGACATATAGGCTGCCTGCCCTTCATTGGGCAAATCTCCTTTGCACCCCAAAGTTGATCCCATTTTTGGTCAGCTGTAGTTAATGGAACCCCAGCTGGGCAAAGTCAGTCAGCAAAACAGGACTGCTGAGATATAACTACTTTTAGATAGCTTCAGTCAAGTAAATCTAAGTGTTTTAGACTTTTATCTCTTCACTTTCATTTCTTTCTTGGGAACACAAGCCCTCCTACTTCTGAAGCCTCTGTTCCACTGTCTCTATCAAGTCTAACAGCAGACAGCCTAAACCTAACTCTGATCGTGCTATTTTAAATCATAGGACTGGAAGGGACCTTGGATGTCTTCTAGGTACCCTGATTTCTTCTGATTCTTAAAGATAAGCTAGTTATAGGCCCACGAAACCAGGAGTGAAGTTCTTTACTTTTATCAGCTGTGTCAGGTTTTAATTTCTTGAATTGTTTCTCAACTTTAATGCAACCTTCTGGGTTGCACAGAACTTTGTTGATAAATCTCATTATGGTTTGCTGAGTTTAAAATTGCCTACTGTAGTTAAAAGTCATTCTTGCATTTCTTTCCTATTTTTTAGATGTCCCTGACCCACCAGGGGACCTCCGACTCTCCGAAAAACAGGCGAGAAATATTAGATTATCTTGGAGCCCTGGAAGCGTTAACAATAGCCCAATTAATGGTAAGAAGGATTCTTCTGCCACAGTCTGGCTTTTATAAAGTGACAATAAATAATTAGCCTTGAATTAACCATATATCCTAAATGAAAGCACCGCCGAATTAATTTGTTGTTGAAGGTCTTTGTTGTTAATCATCTTTTTCGGTTCTCATCCACCTGGTTCCAAGGTGGTTTGCTTCTTTAATTCACAGGCTTTGCTTATTGCATCCCCCCCCCCCTCTCCTTTCTAGAATCCATTGTGGAATTTGAAGAAAACCGATGGGAGCCCGGAAAGTGGCAGGAATTAATTAGGCTTCTAGAAAACGACACTACGGTTGTTTTACCACTGATCCCTTATATAAATTACCAGTTCCGTGTTATATCTGTCAATGCAGTTGGGAAAAGTAAGCCCAGCGAACCATCAGAACGATATGAGACACCTCCAGCTGGTATGTGTTGTTAATTGCTTTGTACATAATTATATTGCAAACGGTGAAGAAGGTATACTGATATGCAATGCACCTAATTATATTATCAGAGTGGTTATTTTGCATTTGACAATTTGATCTTTTGGCGAGGAGAGAAGCTAAATACGCAATAGAAGATTATAACCGCTTTGGTTTGTTTGTTTTTGAACCTTTTATTTTTTACTCCCTTGTGTATTCTCTTAATTATGAATCTAGGGTTGAATGTGTTTGATTTTTTTTTTAAAATGTGGTTGTCATTCTTGGAAAAAGTTATAATTGAGCTGGAAGAGAGAGATCACGCAAGTAAGTACAAATGAAAGACTAGTCCTTCCTGGATGATCTAAGGAAGGATCTCATATAACAGGGGTCCCCAACCTTGGCAACTTTAAGACTTGCGGACTTCAAATCCCCTGATAATTGTTAATGTTGTTTGTGTATTTCCCTAGCTTTCCAGTTCCAGGCCTTATATTAATGATATACTTTCTGTTTTTCCAGTGCCACTGAGCCATCTCTTTAAAATAATTCCATTAACATCTGCTGCTTTGTGAAAATTACTATTTCGTTCTAATCCTGTCATTTTAATGAAAATGGCTAAATCCATATTATTTGCATGTTTTTTTTTCTTTCCTCTGCCCTTTTCAGAATTTTGTGACATGATTTTCAAGTATAAATGACACACAGACACAAAACATGCATTTTATTGTATGTATGAATGTATGTGTATATTAAGGGAAGGTAGACAAGCAAACATGTTGGAAAAATCACTTGCAGAAGTATCTGTTCTAGAAAAAGAAAGTTCAAAATATAACTGTTAGAAGAAAAGCAAATTAGTACATATGTTAATATTGAAGGTTTTGAAATTGTAATTTACAAACTGATTTCTTGAAGAATGAATCTCTCTCTAGCTTTATCATCTCTATCATCTCTCTCTCTTTCTATTATCTCTCTCTCTATATCATCTCTCTCTCTCTTAGTATTTTAAAATTGCCAGTATTTTAAAGGCAATTAATTTAGTTATTAATTTAATTTTTCTCCTAGCCCTATCCAATTCTGAACATGGCATGTTTGTTTGCCACAAACTATTTTTTTTAAGATGAGGGAAGGGAGTTTTCAAGATTAGTTTTAACTGGAGTTGTCAAATCAATTATGATGCATCATAAAGACCATAAGTAAAATAAGAACATATAGTTGAGCATTATGTAGGATTTTAATCTTCATTTAAAGATTTTTTTAAAAAAATATTTAAATTTAAATTTAAAGGTTAAAAAAAATCTTAAGTATTGTACTGCTCTTGGATATATTTGTAATAGAGAGATTAAATAAAAATTGCTTAATTTAATTATTCTTGCATTGCAGCTCCAGATAAGAACCCAGAAAACATTAGAATTGAAGCTTCCAAACCACATGAGATGAACATGACATGGGAGGTAACAATTTTATATAAATGTTATGGAACTTTTTGTTATGATATGTCACCCAACTTTTAAATAAGCTCCAGTGCACACAGTGGGGTAACATTTGATTGAATATATAAGTCATGGTTAAAGAAAACGCTTTGAAACTGCACTGGTAAGAGTAGTGAGGGTAAATGATGAAATTGTCATATTTTAAATTCATGCTAAACTTCCACCTTGCCTTTTCTTTGTTATTATTTTCTGGCCAACAATGATAAATTGTAAATTTCTCTTAAAAATTATCTGGAGGTCACTAAGAATAAGTGAAACTTATACTTATTTGATCAAAATAACGCTGCTTTGGATTTTCTCTTCCCCCAATAATAATTTTATGGAAAGCCTCATTAAATGTAACAATTCCTGCCTGAAAATTTAGAAAGAAAACTCATACTATAGTGCTGTGTGCATCATTAGTATGGTTCCTGAACTGTCCTGCCAGCCAGGTACATGCCTTCTAGCCTATGAATTGCAAAACCAGGTTAACTATTTTGCATTTATTCTCTTAGTTTGGTATTTTCCTGAATTTCCTGTGAATGAAGTCACAATGCTGGTTATGCATACAAAGTTCCAAAAAGTCTTTAAAAGCCTGGATTTAGTCTCAGCCCTAGGGTTATTGTGTTGGGGGAGGAGAGGCTGGCATGCCTTATTTGAATGGCTGCTGTCTTGTTTCATTCTGTTCGTGTTTTTAATTACTTAAATTAGTGTTATATTTTATAAGCCACCCAAAATTCACTATATTAAATAACAATAATAATACTGTAATTGAAGTTTGCCATTTATTGAGTAAGCCCCAAAAAACACTAATAGGCTTTGGATAGAGAGATGGGCATGATATAGATAAACAAACACATTTGCCTTGTTACAGTATCCTTTTTCCAATTTCACTTTTGGAAGAATGTAGGAAAGTGAGAAGTTAATTATATTTCATTCTTTGATATGTAGAAAGATAGCATTATAGATTTTTCAAGATTTAAAGGGGTCCATAGGTGTCTGGACAATGTCAAGATGGTGGTTGCAACCAGATGATTTAAACCAGGGGTAGTCAACCTTGGCTCTTTTATGACTCGTGGACTTCAACTCCCAGAATTCCTGAGCCAGCAAAGCTGGCTCAGGAATTCTGACAGTTGAAGTCCACGAGTCATAAAAGAGCCAAGGTTGACTACCCCTGGTTTAAACTGTGCCCCCTTTTGCATATGTGTATTAAGTATATCATGTATTTAAAAAGATGGGCTTTCATTCTTTAATTACCCTCCTGTTTTGACATCATTAACTACACCGCAGATAACTTATTTACAGTCAGTTTTGTTATATAAATGAAGGTTTCTTCCTTGAAGAATAGTGCTGTTGATGGTGTTGGTGTTGCAACATTTGATTCATTTTAACAGAATAATGGAGTTGGAAAGGACCTTGGAGGTATTCTAATACAATCTCCTGCTCGATCAGGAAATCCTATACCATTTCAGACAAGTGGCTGTCCAATCTCTTCTTAATACACTCCAGTGTTGGAGCACCCACAACTTCTGGAGGCAAGTCATCACACTGATTAATTGTTCTAATTTTGACTTCATTTGCAGCCATTAAAGCCCATGGAGCAAAATGGACCTGGTCTGGAATACAAAGTGAACTGGAAACAGCAGGATACCAGTGAATGGGAAGAAGAAACAGTGCAAAAACATTTCCTAGTTTTGCAGAACACCCCTACTTTTGTGCCTTATGATATCAAAGTCCAGGCAGTGAACAAGTATGGATCTGGCCCTGAACCTAATATAATTACTGGATATTCAAGTGAGGACAGTAAGTAATGGAAGTACAAACAATCACACACACACACACACACACACACACACACACACACACACACATATATATATATATATATATATATATATATATATATATATATATATATATATATATGGTTTTTCAAATTCAAAGGTGCTGAAAGGTGATCTGACTGGTGGAAATTATATTATGGATAAATATTCTGCTATAGAACATTTTCACAGGTCAGTGCTCTGATAATATTGGTAACCTTGGGAGTTGCTTGAAATCCTGTATTTTTCTGGGTTTATCATCAGAATTGCCAGACATAACAAGAGACCTGATGAGTCTGGAAACAGGCCCATCTAATGCAGTACTCTGGGTCTATCTATGGAGATTCTCAGCCATCCAGTTCATGACTGTCCCAAAAGTGCTTTTTCAAGAGGCAAATGAACTTTCTTGTTTTTCTTTGAAGACATTTTGCTTCTCATCCAAGAAGCTTCTGGACTGGGATGGGATGACTCACAGTGGCCAGGTGGGCGTGGCTGAGTAGGCATGGCTGAATGGTCACAGCCAGGTCACTGTGACTAGTTGGACATGGCTGGCTCGGCGTGGTTGGCTCGACACCACTTACTTGGCACGGTTGACTCTAAAGGAGCAAAGTTAAACTTCTGCTGCCTTGACAGATCTCTGGAAAGCAAGAAGAGGAGGCAGGGGAGCAGAGCTCCCTGGTCCTGCATGAAGGAGGCTGGTCCTTCTCAAAAGGGAATCCACATTTCCATGCATGCATGGTAAGGATTCGATACTTTTATCCACATCTGAGCTGGCAAACTGCCAATCATGCCTGAGTTTGGGGAGAAGGACCTCTCCTTCCTCTGTGTCGTGGTTCCGATAGATGAAACCATTTAAAAGAACCTCAAGGCAAAGATTTCTTCCTTAAAGAACATTTTATTTAGGAAACAAAAGTATTGACATTTACATAGGTGAACCCAAGACTGAAAGCTCCTCCCTCAGGATACAAAGTAACAAGTTTCAATCCCCACCCCAAATTGCTGCCATAAATCACATTCACCAATTATCTCAAAATGTGGGCTCTCCTCCCAGATTTTCAGCCACCAAAACCCTGACCTTGATTCTCACACAGAAATATTGTTATGGCTAACTGAGAAACTTAACATCCTCCTCCCCCCTCCTTCATCTAAAATCTCTAAACTAAACTGTGGCAACGAAGACAAAATGGAAAATAGTTTCAGTTCAGTTTGTCGCAACATTGACAAAAAGTCCCCAAACTTGGAATGAGGTGGGGGGTGGGTGTGTTTGTGTGTGTGTGTGCATGTGCTTGGCTGCCAGCAGTTTGGGGAGGCGAGCTTGTGGGGCACTGACTTGTCATCGAGTTAGCTGGTGTGACTTGTTCTGTGCCAACCCAGCCATCCCGAGTCGATAGGGCTGAGTCAGCTGCACCTACCCAGCCATGCCTACCTAGCCACCTGGCCATACTGAATCAGCTGCACCAAGTGAGTGGCATCGAGTTGAACACATCCATCCAGACATGCCCACCCATCCATGCCCAGCTAGTCATGGTGACCCGGCTCCAACCACCCAACCATGCCTACCCAGCCACGTCCACCTGGCAGCTGTGAGTCATCATAGACCCGGACTGGAATGTGAAAGCTCTTTCATTATTTTTACCAGCAACCCTCACTTAACACACATTGCCCATGATTCAATAGGTAGTGAATTGCCATCAATATTAGTATATCCTGATTGACTATGAACTTGTCTAGCCTGCTGTAAAACTGTTGATTGTCACTATTGCAGTCAAAAATTTATACAATTTCCTTCTCCTTTCATTATACACATACTCATATATATATATTAGATAGATATTAGATATTCTAATATAATTATACCCTACCAAGGATTTTTGGGAAATAAAAAATGCCTGCCTTCTTTTCTTTTCATCATGCGAAATAAAAGAAAGTAGCTGTAAAGAAATTAAATTAATATGCAGTCAATAGCCTGAAAGAGGTTTGTACAGCATTTTTATTTTAATTTATTTTTATTGTATTTATTTTTATCCCACCTTCATTATTTTTAGAAATAATTCAAGGCAACAAACATATCCAGTGCACCTCTTCCTCTTCCTGTTTTCCCCACAACAACAACCTTGTGAGATGGGCTGGGCTGAGAGAGAATAATTGGCCCAAGTTCACCCAGCTGGGCTTTCATGGCTAAGGTGGGACTTGAACTCACGGTTTCCCACTTTCTAGCCTAGTGCATTCTGAGAAAAAGGGGAACATATAAAAACACAATATCAATGACTTTGCTATTTTCAAGAGTATGGGCAATAGTTAGAAACAAGAAATATACAGGATCTTGAGAATGACTGCACCTACTTAGAAAGCACAGAAATCTGATTGTTGTTGTTAGTTGCGAAGTCGTGTTCGACCCATCGCGACCCCATGGACAACATTCCTCCAGGCCTTCCTGTCCTCTGCCATCTTCTGGAGCCCATTTAAGTTCATGCTTACTGCTTCAGTGACTCCATCCAGCCATCTCATTCTCTGTCGTCCCCTTCTTCTATTGCCCTCAATCTTTCCCAGCATTAGGCTCTTCTCCAATGAGTCCTTCTTTCTCATTAGGTGGCCAAAGTATTTGAGTTTCAACTTCAGGATCTGGCCTTCTAAAGAGCAGTCAGGGTTGATCTCCTCTAGGACTGACCGGTTTGATTGCCTTGCAGTCCAGGGGACTCGCAGGAGTCTTCTCCAGCACCATAATTCAAAGGCCTCAATTCTTTTGCACTCAGCCTTTCTTATGGTCCAACTTTCACTGGAAAAGAAAGGGAATGTGAAAGACAGATTTGGCTGATTTGAACTAAACTCCAGAATGATTTTCTTGTTGCAGTTCCTATTTGTAGTTCATAAAGTCGAATTCTGTTTGTTCCAAGGCATGTCCCACTAACTTCAATTGGAGTAAATCCCAGCTTAATGCATCTAGCTCTAATATATGCCCATACATTAAGGCTTAGGCTAGATGCTATCAGATATATTACACTATTATTATTGGCATATGATTATATGTGTGGCTTTTCATTATACTGCCCCATCATTTTAAATCCAGGTTATCAAATGGCTGTCACAGGCCTAAATCTAAACCCAGAGGAGTCTCTGCTCCATTTATTAATGTGTTAATGAAGTGTGAGGAAGATACCATATCTGTCATCTCAGAATTGCCTGGAGCAGTTTGAAATTCTAGTCCATTAACTCTCATTCACTTCCAAAGGAGATCCTCTGAGACTGAGGATGGTTGAATGTTATGCTAAACTTACAACTCATGTAAGCACAAAGTAAAAACCTACTACTGTCTGCTGAATAGAGGATATCATATAAATGTTGTCTTCCTCTGTGTTCAGTTCCAGAAGCAGCTCCTTCAAATGTAATTGTTCAAGTCATCAATAGCAGTCTGGCGAAAGTCATCTGGTCCACAATTCCAAAAGATCGGGTCCGTGGACACCTTAGAGGATATAAGGTGGATGTTGTTCTCCCTGTGCTTTCCCACAGTTTACCTTGACCCCTTGAATTATCAATATGCTTTTGTAGAATGCTTGGGTTTGAACATCAGTTTAAACAGATCAGTAAAAGAACTAGATGATGCATTTCTACAAAATGCAAGCCTATTTATCTAATTTTAACCTTTGGCTAGGTTATGCATGTAATGAGTTTGTGTGTGTGTCTCTATGCATGCATGTTGGTGATTAAGTGGTGTGAATGCTGTCAAAGAGTCACATCTGCTCTCTGCAAATATCCCTTCTGCAGATCAACTGGTGGAAAATCCGAAACCGTCTGGATGAAAAAAATCACCACCCAGAGAAACACTCCTTGACATTTAAAGCAGACCGAAATGATGGAATGATTCCTGGTTTAGAGCCTTTTAGTATTTACCACTTAACCGTCTTGGCTTTTAATTCCAAAGGAAATGGACCTGAAAGCATTGCATATGAATTCCGAACCCCAGAGGGAGGTAAAGCTGGAAAAAGGGAGGGGGGGAATAAAAAGGAAAGAATGGCCAACTTTTGTAACTGCATTTTCCCCTTTGCAACTGACCTGGTTGTGCGTCACTGTCTCCTTATCTGGGCATTCTCATAGTTGGAGATATCCAAGTAATATCTGACTTTTAAAAGGGAGTTTTTATTGTTGGTCACTGCAATTATATATTCATTATACATACTAGAGTTATTATTGTGCTTGATAAAAGTGTATTGTTTATTATTCTTCCTTGGAATTTTCTAAGAACCTAATGGATTCATATCAGTTAGAAATTAGATAAGATCTCCAATGAGTTACAAAAACTGTCAATGGAGTCAAACGTTCACTGTTATGAAGGAAGGCCCCCCCCCCTCCGCAGATTAAAATATTCTTTATTTTTAATATTAAAAAGGTGGGATAGAATATTTGTCCTAAAGGAGAAATGGAGAAATAATCTTAACAATGGCAGAAAGCAGCCCCAGTCTTCTTGCTATAAGAAAAAGCCCTCAAGCAAAAAGGCCAGTTATTAGAAGATTTTGAATGGATATTCAGAAAAACTGAGCCAATCTATTCATAAACAAAACACCTTCAGCTCTCACAGCTGATGGGATTAAGAATTTACATTCCCCCACCCAAATTCTAAGGATAGGACATAACCTTTAGGACATAATAGGATTAACCTACCACCATTGACACAAGGCTCACTACATTGCACAACCCCCTGGAGCAATTAAAAGGTATAAAAATCCACCCACTCGCAACTCTATTTTGTTAGCTGTCCCCAGAACTGCATGCCATTGCTGGTTCTGCTCATCAATATACAAGAACCTTGTTTCCTAAGCAGCCTCCATGTTATTTTCAGCATCTTACTCTCGGCTTGGAACTGGAGCTGATTTTTCTTTCAACAGTTAGAAGTAGAGAGGTACTACTGAAAGCATATGCCATGATTTCTTGCAAATTTCTTAATATCTTTAATACAACACACATTCCTTCTCAAGTGCAGATTGAAGAGCCCATAAACCCATGCTGACTAATGGCAGGAGACAGGAAGAATGACTAACTTGATTTCAAATAGAAGAAGAATTGGGGAAAAAGAAAGTACAAATCTCTCATGTTTTCTCCATTTCTTAGATTTCCCCAAAACTATATACATTCTATAAAAATGGTGAATGAAATCATCTGATAAAATAGTATTTATCTTTCCGAAGCTGAATACTTAGCTAACTTTCAAACAGAAGGTAGTATATTTAAAATATTCCAAGCTAGTTCAATTCAAATTTTAAGAACCCGAAAAACGTCATATTCATTTTACTTAACCAATAAGATATATTTTGAAAAGTTGCCTGCATTTTCAATAATATGTAGGGATGAAATGAGTGACTAATATTTACTTGCTTTGTTTTTATATTATCTTATTTTATTCTATATCTGGATACATTTCCTATATGGATAAAGTTTATAAGAACAAATGAATAAAAGTGTATTCATGATCAATTTTTTACATATGTATTTTACAGTCCCAGAAAAACCACACTTTCTAAAAATACTAAATTTTGATAAAGACTCAGTAACATTGTCATGGGGACCACCGAAGAAACCTAATGGATTCATTACTGGATACACATTGCAATACCAAATGAGTAAGTATACAAATATTCTACTTTCAGTTTAAGATTTAAAAAAACATTTATTTAAGGCAGATCATTCTTAACTGAGGTTGAAATATGAGGGAAATGGTTTCCTCCCTTATTTTTTCAACAGGAAAACCCTTTCTTAGCTATTTTTCTTTTTTTAAAAAAATACAGAACCCTATATTTTAAATTTTAATTGGGCAGAGTCACAGCAGAGACATTAAGGGGTCCTAACATTCCTGCTGTAAATCTTTATTAAAGATTATCAGACTGACTGTTTGAAGTCCTGAGTTGAAAATATATGTTTTAGCCTCGTATAGCTAGGTGTATTTTTACCTTCTTTTATACTGCATTAAAATTATCTTACTGTATCATCTTTATAGGGTTAATTTTATTAGTCACAAGGAATTTGTCTTTTTCTTCCAAATCCACATTTGACTAATAACAAAGGAAGATGCAAGCAGATAGTTAACAGTGTGAGTTGAGGGAAGAATGATAGAATATAGAGTTAAGTGTACTAAGTATGCTTAGTATATAAGCCATATTCTAAAGCATGTGTTGCGGTACCTTCCAAGAGTTCCCAAAATTACATAATCTCACTAGTAATGCTAGAACATTGACTGAAAAATCAAATTAATCTGTTTTTTTAATGGAATATAGTTGCACCTCCATGACTGAAAAAAAAAATGCATAGATATGCAAATCAGGCAAACACATATTTGATGTGTTTTCCTTTCGTATTTGGTGGTGGAAGTCTATTGAATATAAATTAAAATACAAACAAACTGTGGAGGAACTGGGTAGATCATGGCCTTGGATTCTGATTACCTATTATTTTAGGCAAATATTCCAAGTTCAGTTGTAGAATTGGTTGCTATGAAATGATCAGCAAATAAATAAATAAATAAATAAAATGTTCAAAGATCTGTATCATGATTTTTAATATTTTACATGTAAATTTTACTTAGATTCAAGTTCTGCTTACAGCAAAATTTTCACTAGATATTTTGTTTCATAGTAATTAAACTGTATAACACAATGTGTTATACACGCACACACATATCATATATATACTTATATTATATTATATTATATTATATTATATTATATTATATTATTATATTATATTATATTATATTATATTATATTATATTATATTATATTATATTATATTATTATATTATATTATATTATATTATATTATATTATATTATATTATATTATATTATATTATATTATATTATATTATATTATATTATATTATATTATATTATATTATTATATTATATTATATTATATTATATTATATTATATTATATTATTATATTAACAATTAAAATGTTTTATGTTGTACATTGGTGAAATATAAAGTTGGCATACGAGGTACATTTTTAACAAATAAACTGATTTCTAATGTTGATGTCTGACTAAACAGTATCTGCTCATTCTTTTGTTTTTCAGTTAATGAGACTGACAACATTGGGCCTTTGCATGAAATCAGTATTACCAATTCATCATCATTAAGCTTCCGATTGTCTAACTTAAGCCTCAGCACAAAATATAAGTTCTATGCAAGGGCCTGTACAGTGCAAGGATGTGGAAAACCTATCACAGAGGAAGGAATAACAGTAAACCAAGGCAGTAAGTTAAAAGCAAGGTTGAATGTCTACAAATCTAATCTTAATCGTAACATCTGGGTATTGAACCAAAGGGAAAATTAATCAGGAGGAAAGGGAACAGTGCTTATCATTAAAAGGCTGATACTTAAGGCTTCAGAAGGTTGCATATCATTATCTACTAAAACTATTCCTCAATCAACCATTTTGTATTTTTCTTTTCTCCGAATATACTGTATATTTGCAAAATGGTTTCCTATGATAATGTTGTGAAGACATGGATTTATTTTGACTTGCACACTTGTTAATGTAAGTAGTTCAATACCATGAATATTAGGTTGTGCAAAGCTTAAAAGCCGTGTTTCATTTCAACAAAATGACAAATGAAACACTCCTCAAAGATCCTTCATGCAATAATGATCTTGTCACTTACATAAGATCTCAGAGAAGCATCCTGTTGTTTCACTATAACTGTGGCATCTTACTACTAAAGTCCAGGTAAGCACCTATATTGCTTCACTGCTTTCTGTTTCAGAGCTACTCTTATATTTTCTCCACGTTAAAGGAGAAGGCTGACAATAGTCTTTTTCAGCAAATGCTACAGGAGAGGTCTGAAAGAGCTTTCTCTTGAAGAGTTAGCCACGGAGCTTCCAAGGCTGAGAAGTTCTGGTCGGACTTGAATTTTCTGGAAACTGCAGACAATTGCATACCAAGGATTTTCCAGAATGGGTGGCTCCAGTGCAGGCTGCAGGAAGTCCCATGGTACATGCTGAAGTTGGCCCACTCAAAATTCCCCCAGCACTCGTGGGAATCCTTCAGTTGATCACTTCTACAGTGGGCTACAAGGTGTCCTCTATAGTCCTCTGTCAACCACTTGAGAACAGTCAGTGGCTCAGAGAAGCTCTTTTGGTGGCCCTCGGTTATGCCAAATGTTTGTTAGGTGATGAGCAATTGAGGGAAACTAGCAGCATCATGGCACTTTCTTTCTTCCAACCATAGATAGCAGAAAAGAAAATCCAGCAGTGTGGAAAAGCTCCTTTGATTCAGGAAGTTTGATTCAGGAAATTAGATTACATAGGTCATCTCCACAATTCAGATCCCTTCTTTAAGCAAATCTCTGTAACTTTATGCAATCTTACTGAGCCAAAGAATCTTGGTTATAAAGGAGAAAATGATACCACATAGGTCTATTGTTGTAATAATCAAAAATAAAATTATATTTAATTTGACAATATTTGCTGCAACAGAGCATCACTTTTAATATACAAATGGAAGCCCATATTTAATTGCAACTCTTTAAACTATAACATTCTGGGGTTCACTAGATGAACCATTTAATTTCCAATTAAAGCCCCATTAGCACAATTGCATCCATCATTCAGCTGAAATACGATCAGATGGATGACTTACAACTCTGTCTCTATAGCTGTAGAACCAACTAGATATTAATTGGTAAAATTAAGTGAGATTGGCATACCAATTTGCCAGACAGAATGAGCTAAATAGAAAATGCCCAAGCTCATCAGTGTGAATAACATACAATAACAGTGTTGACAGGGAACAGTCAAATATTTTCTTGCACTTAATAGGTTATCTTATTAGAATGGGGTGCATACATTCCATTTAAATCAGAAACTGGGACTATGGAAGACCCACCAACATTGCTTTAGAGAAGGAAGAATGCCTTTGAAGTTCTATTGAAAAACACTTTTTTTCCCCTTGTGGAAGATATACGTAGTTGAATCTTTCAAGCAGAAACGGAATATCAATATTAGCACATCATAACAATGGTTGCTTTTTGGTTTGGCTGATTTGACTGGACTATGATTTGTTTAATCTGTCTTCAGACATTTGAGCCAGGCAGGGAAGTCTTCAAATATCAGATGGATGGATGGATAGATGGATGGATAGTAGATAGTATATAGATGATAGATTTCCATTTGTTGTATTAAGTTGTTACTCAAAACATTTTGTAATAAAGATGAATCTTAACTGATGTACCTTGGGGAAATAGTAAAATTGTTCTTTTTTGGATTACTTTGTCTCCGAAGTATCATTCATATTTGTAAGGCTCCAAACTCAAGAGAAATCTGGATTTACAATTTGGTATTTAATGTTTATATCAGTTCTTTGATATAAAAGAAAAATGAAAAAAAAGCTGATGACCTGTTGATTTTATTCTTAGTTCTTACTTTCTGGATATTAAAAATAAAAATTAACCCAACTGCTTGTGGATTTCTTAAGCTAATAATTGTACTTCAGTGACCTTTAATATATTCCCTAAAATATTTTGCTACTAATGTATTATGTATCTTCCTTTACTTCTTAAAGTTCTTCATTTTTTTATCTTTTCAAACTACTCTTGCATACTGCAATGTATACATAGACACATTATTTATCTTCTCCAGGTAAGAAATATAACTCTAAAATGAAGTCCCAGGCTATCCTTAGTGGATTTATAAATTAATCAAATCTTTGCAGAGATCTTACAGAGGGAAATATGTCTGAATATTAATGTGAATTTTCTATAAAAACCCAAAACCTGTATCAAAATCTCCTTATCCTGCAGTTAATATTAATTGGATATCTGTGGTGCAGCAGACTCATTTCTATTTTATTAAGTCTTTAAACAGCCTTATGATATCCTTTTATTTTCTTTTTCTTTGACTTCATTATGACTTTAGTAAAAGTGAGCCAGGGAAAGCTTTTTTGGGAGACATTTTGAATCAAGCACTTCACTGAACTGATGGATGATAGATAGATAGTTGGGTAGATGGACAGACATAGATGATGATGGATAGATGGATGGATGGATGGATGGATGGATGGATAGATAGATAGATAGATAGATAGATAGATAGATAGATAGATAGATAGATAGATAGATAGATAGATAGATAGATAGATAGATTCTCCTCCAAACCTGCAAAAAAGGTTTGCTGGAGTATAGCAGCATAAATATTAAGATTAAAGCAACAAGATTATGCATAGAGAAGTATTCACATACACAAACACATCCCAAGGCATCTCAATATTTGTTTCTTGAAAATTCAACATCAGCAAGACAAAAAAATAAACATGTACAAAATGTACATGCCTTATTAAAGCTCAGCAAACGATCCATAATCAAAATACTTTTTGCAAACTAATTATAAGAGCATGCAGATAATATCTTGCAACATCATGCCAATAGTCTTTAGATTTTCATACATTAGTTAAACAATTTTTAGATTTGCAGATCTTTAGCAAAGCTTTTTTTTTAAAAAAAGAAAAAGAAATAGCAATAACTAGCAGGTATGCAGATGTGAGATATCTTCTACAGATAGTCCTTGACCTATGTTCATTCATTCATGAAATTACAATAACGCTGAACAAATACCCTTGGAGATCCAGGCATCCTAGCACCCCATGATCATGTGATCATGATCTGGGTGTTTGGAACCAGTTCGCATTTAAAAACCAGTTGCAGTGATCTGAGGCCATGTGATCTCCATTTGCAACCTTCCCTCCTGGTTTCCCAGAAAGTCAATTAGGAAGCCAGCAAGGAAAGTCACAAGTCACTGGGGTATGTCCTTCTGTGTTTGTGCCACACCAGTCACTCAAATCCTGACCATCACTGTGACTCAGTCACACCCTTGCACCTGTCCCTAATCTACACTGCACCTTCTTGAAGTGTTATTGCAACCTTATGCATCCTCTCTGACCATCCTTTGTACCCTCATGCAACCCCAGGACCTACTGGGCACCCCCTCACCCACCTAGCAGCAACAACTCATCCCCAACTGCCATCATTGTTGAAGACTAGCAGTATCTCATTGCTCTTCCCAGTTTCCTTCATCTCAACATCAACCCATCAACATCAGTAGAGTCTCTGCTATAATGGCTAAGCTAGAAAAGATCTCAAAAGATTAAAAGTAACTCAATCATAAAAAGACCACAGTTGTTCAATCTTAGTGCTTAGGCCAGTAAGAAAAATTTGAAATAGCAATCTTCTAAATATGTAGCTTTTATTTTAAGACTGAAACAAAATAGTCCATTTTGCCTTGACCGTGATACTACGACATCTTGAATTACAGAAAAGAGTCAAAATGTTTCAAGGTCACAATGCTTTGAACATCTGAAAGGAATGTTATCTCAGAAACAATATTATTGGCAATGTCTGTTGAAATTTGATGTCTAAAGCAATTGATGGAGCATGCTTAATTTCCAGTTACTTCAGCAGCTGAAATATGCCTGACAAAGTGGTTTCAGAACTAGAGGGAGCCTCCTGTTCCTTTCAGTTTGTAATCCTGTGTATCTGACAGCTTTAAATAGTTTGGATTATTTGAAATGACAGAAATTGACATAATACATTTTCCCCTTGTTACCTTTCAGAAAACATTTATGTTAAGTGTACTACTTTGTGCATTTAGGGGGGAAAATAAACTTGTAATGACCTGTGATTAGAAAATGTAGTTTCGGCTTCATGGAATTAATTTAGCAATATCAATTCTGCAAGATAGTTTTAATTATGTTAAACCCTTCTCATCAAATGTTGGTTTAATGCAGCAATCAATGTACTGTATTCCTTTAATTCTCTCTGGCACTATTATAATTAAAGTACAGGCTGTAATTGATAAATAATTGTTTTGGAAAACCTTGTAATATTCTGATGTTTTGTCTGTATCCAACCATTTTTAATCTTTTCTCTTTTTTCCCTTTCAGTTATCTTCTGAGTGTTAATCTCTTGAAGCTACTATTTGCTTGCTTGCTTATTCCAGAACTAATAATCATAGCTTCTGTATCGCACATGCAAATTATCTAAGAGTTTGCAAGCTCCACTATATCTGTGAACTAATAACTATCTGTTCTAATAGATACATTGTACTTCAGGTTGTAATATTAGATAGACTGAGCAAATAAAGCAAAATAAATAATTCCTTAAAAAAAGAATACTTAAAATATTTAGGAAATCTTATTTAATGAAGATTAAAAAGTTAAATAATATGCAGGTTTCTTTTCTAGGATGTAAATATTCATCTTTTCTGTTTCCTCTTAAAAATTATACAGTACTGTCCCAATATAATATAATATAAAATAGATTAAAAGCATCGAAAGAATAAAATTACATCCTCACTTTTCATTTGATTCATGAAACAGAGGTAAAATAATTAATTAGTGAGGGAACCGCTACTCTGTTAGAGCAGAAACCAGAAAGTGCCTTATGAAAGTGCCTTTAAAAATTAACAAATGTATTATGACATAAATCCAGTGCTTCTTGGATTGATGGCTGTGTTCCACCTTTGAATGGTGTATCAGAATCAGACAGCAGGAGATATAACCAAGGCAAAAAAGTAGGCAAGGTTAAGAGAGAAACTGAATTTGATTTAATTTACAGTGCATTAGAATCTAATTTGTATTAAATCAATTTAAATAAAATAATGTATCATGCATTTTCCTTTTCCTCCATATTAATGAGAGAATCTGATGGCAACTTTTTGAAGGGCTCTTGGCCACGCCCAAGCTGAAATGTAGTACTGAAACTTCAGTTATCAGGTACTCCGATAAAGGAGAATATTTGATATGAGGGTTGACATGAGAGGCTCTTGGTGCTCTCTGAGCTTGCTTGTTTTCTTGGAGATGTTTCATTACTCAAACTAGGTAGCATCAAGCATTGATGATGTTACCCAGTTTGGGTAATGAAACATCTCCAAGAAAACAAACAAGCTCAGAGAGCACCAAGGACCCCTCTGTTATGTACTCTGCTATAAAACCTCACCTTAAGAACTCCACAAGACACTTGTTTTTTTCCCCAATAATAATTTTATTAGAGGGATTTCTGACTCATTATTTGGATACTAGAGAATTTTAGTTCAGTTTACTAAGATGAACCAAACCTTATAACTTTTAAAATTTCATTTTAATTAGTTATATTAATTAATATTTCACTGAAGCACTATCCTATAATTATGTTAATTTGACTTCTTTAATGTAAAATATTTTATCATACTCAACTATAGATTGGATTTTGGTGTAATTCTATATCAACCATTTGATTTGTTTGCAACCAAGTTGAAACAATTTAGGTAGCTGAGTTTTTAAAGGGGAAAAATGCATATTTTAGCATTTATTTATTAGCTAGAATATAAGTTTAAATGTAACTGTTTTATTGAAATTCTGTGCAACATTAATTTTGCCATTTATTTATATAAACATAATATATTTGGATATTTAAATATGTTCAATAAATCAATGAATATTATTAGAATAAGCTATTTTTCTTGAATTCTTAGAAACTAGGCTAAATTATCCAGTAATTTAAATGACTAGCTTCTATTAAAATAAATACAATTTAGAACATACACTACATGAATAATAATGTGTCATATAGGATCATTACCCTAAATGATCCCTTGTAATAATTGCGAAATTCTCTAAGGATAAATGCTTCACCTATTAATATTAACTGGTACTGATTCTGTAATTTTATATCCTGAGGCCCTCACCCAATTCACCTATTTGACTTGACTCTGTGCATTCCATAGGTAAAGCTGTCGGGAAGATTACTGAAGTTAAGCCCAGCCCAAAGAGTCAGCCTGTTGAGGCACTTGATCCCGGAACTGCAAACACAATACGACTAATGACTAAGAATTGGGTTGATAATAATAGCATTTCTGCAGATGTAATTGAGACCAGGGGGAGAGGTGAGAAATTCTTAAGGCCTCTAAGATGACCGTGATTCTCACAAAAACAAAACTTTAGCCACTGCATATTAGTATTATAGGCTGTATAATTGTAACATGAAACAGTTATATATTCAGAACTCACTGCATCTATTATAATTGGATTTTAATTGTTGATTTGAACAAAAGAAAAAAGTAGTTTCCCAGTTTCATAATCCTCAAACACCATAATTTCCAGAAGTATGTATTGCTGGGGCCAAATCTGGTACAGGAAATGTAGACTTCTCTTAATATTTTGAATGTTAAACTGAGAATTGCAAATTATCTTTGCGATAAATGTTAGTATGAATGTAATCAGTCCCATTCCACCACAAGTTTTTTCTGGTTTACCTTTAGTAGCAAGTTTTCGTTAATAATTCCAAATCTATGTAGGAAGAAAAAATAAAAAGTAATTAGGACTACCATGCCTGGACTGCAAAATGTAACAAAACCACGGGATGGCAGCAAAGAGTTAATTTTCTGTATAATTTTCTGCAGTCTGAAGTCTTATTTAGATTTTTGCAATTCAGGTGTGATAACTCTTAGATTAAATTGGCATAAAGTTGTTCCAGCATTTTACTGTGGAAAACAGAAAACCTCTGTTTGCGTACCAGGAATATGTTGCAGAGACACGTGTGTTCTCAGTTTCTGCAAGTGCTATTGGCCAAAATTAAAATTTTGTAGAACATTAAAATAATATAAGGAGGGAAAATATTTCTCCCAATACCATTCTGGAGTGAAAGATAGATATCAGACAATATGTCAGATTTCTGAATGGGTCTTCAATCTTCTCCAAAGAGGCAGCTGTGGTCAGACATATTGAAAGCCTAGGTGTCAAGCATTATCCCGAATCAGTGGAAGATGCAGCTCACAGATCTGCCCTTTTTTTTTCTTTGTGCTTGACTAGTTCTTTATCGCAGACAGATCCCTTCTATTTCTGGGATTATGCTGCTGATATCCCTTTAGGACACATTAAGATTGCTCTTCAAAATTCCCCACTTCCTCTGCATTGGTAGGTCCTGTTAAGGGATTGCCTTTATTGCAAAATTTCCTGCAGAATTCGAGCCTGATAGGTGAGTCTGATACTGAGATATCTCTTCATTTTTGCTCTATAATCTAGATTTAAAATTCAGCTTCCAAGGCAAAATTGAAACCAGTTCAAAAGGGCCAGTTTGTATTACTTAGATATTCATTACCTTGCCAGTTCTTTTCTTCTTGCATTTTATATGCAGTAGGCTATGCATTTGCCTCTATTCTGTACACTTTTTTTAACCCTCTCTTTCTTACTATTGCATGACAAGCTGGTTTAAGTACTGTATTCCTGCTTGCTTAATTAAAATATGCAACAAAATGTTTCAAATCTTAATAATGTGTCTTGCAGACTTGATTTTAATATAAACATTTTATCCCCTTCCCCCAATGCAGACTGCTAGCCCCTGATAATCAGTTCTAAAATATTCTTTAAAATACAAAAAAAAATAATCTTATACCTCCATATGTATTTTTTTTCCATTCAAAGCTTACACTGGAATTTATAAACGAATCTCTACACAAGGTTGGTTTATAGGACTGATGGGTGCCATCGCTTTGCTTACCTTACTGTTGCTTACTATCTGCTTTGTTAAAAGGAACAGAGGAGGAAAATATTCAGGTGAGGAAAAATGTGTTCTCCAAATTGAATATACTTTTATAAGGATGTACAAGCCTTTTCCCAGGTTATCACAAGTCTTCTTGGGGATCGGAAAGTTACACAAACCCAACAATCCATAGCAACAAATGGTGCTCCACATGAAATAAAAAGCTGGTGCTCCACATGAAATAAAAAGCTGATAACAGATTGTTGGGAGCTTCTGGAAGTTGCCTGTTGCTATCCCTTAGGAAGATAAAAAGCTTCTTTGCATAGGGAAAATGCAGTGAGATAGCACGGAAACGACAAGTCTACCAATTCCGCTTTAAGTTATAATTGGCTGAAAGAAAATAGGATCCTTTCTAAAATAGAGCCGTACTTGGGAAAAAAATTGAAAAGTCTCCAGAAACACATGCACAACTCAGAAATTTCTATTTGATAATGTCAGCTAATTGCCTTAATAGCCTATAAAGTGATGCCTTCACCAGGGCATCTTTGAGAATAGCATTATATAAATGAACAAAAATGTACATCACATAGTCAGAACTTCTATTTTTGAAACATAAAGATCCAGTCAAGAAAGTTGACACTTTCTCTACCATTTAAAATCTAGGTTACATCTGTCTGTCTGTCTGTCTGTCTATCATCTATCTATCTATCTATCATCTATCTATCTATCATCTCTCTCTCTCTCTCTCTCTCTCTCTCTCTCTCTCTCTCTCTCTCTCTCTCTCTCTCTCTCTCTATCTATCTATCTATCTATCTATCTATCTATCTATCTATCTATCTATCATCTATCATCTATCTATCATCTATCTATCTATCTATCTATCTATCTATCTATCTATCTAATCTATCTATCTCTATCTATCTATCTATCTATCTATCTATCTATCTATCTATCTATCTATCTATCTATCTATCTATCTATCTATCTATCTTACTTATAGAATTCTAGTCCAACCCCCTGGCTAAGACAAGAGACTGTATTCTCATCCTGGATAAATGAATCTTTTTTTTTTTTTGCAAACCTCCTACAGGTTGCCTGTGCCTTCTTCAATCTCAGGTCCTCTACCAGAGGCCTTCCCAGTTGTAATAGTATTTGATTGATTATGGTATGGATTTCTAGCAGTTCCCAGCCATCTTATTTTGCAGTCTGGTCTTTCAATGTTGTATCAACTATATGATGGCTCAAGAGAATTACTCCTTCCCCAGGCTCACTGATTACTGGTTTCAAGGCCAAAACTGAGCTCCCTAAAGCCTCCAAAGGTGGAGCCGAGGCAAGGTTAGAGAAGAAGAGCCAAAGACCCAAAAAACATTAAGCCATTCCAATAGGAAGATTAAAAAATAGACATACTTCATCCTGAATTTTGGCTTTCTATAGGATTCCAACTTTTATTTAAAATTGTTGTCCGTATCACTGAACTTTATTTGTTAATTAATACTTACAAGGAAAAGTTGAAAGAGCTGAAAATAGTTTCAAGTAGGTATAAAGTAGTTCAAGAGAGAGAGGGAGTTTCTCAATTCACTCAGAATTAAGTGGAAGTTCTAAACTGCTGCTGTTCTTAATTCTTATTTTAAAAAGCATGATTCATATATACATGGTGTTATGTTTATTACACATTTCTTTAACATGCACTGTATTATTCTGAGAAGCGTGTACAGAATACCCATAAAGGTAGCCCATTAATACCTGAAGCAAAGAGAATCTGGAAAAGTTTACCCAAAGAGAAGCCTTGACACAATAGTGAAAGGCTAAGGCACTCACCATAGAATTTCATTTTTAGGCCAAAAATTAAAAATGCTACTCCTTCAATACAGGACTGTGCCTAAGAGCTCATTGTGTGGCTTGCCACAGATAAGGCAGTTGTAATATAAAACAGCAAATCACATTGGCTAATTTGCTCCCAAAACCTATATAATTTAGGAAACAGTGATTTAGCTTCATCTAAACTAAATTAATCAATTGCAACTCAACTAGAGGTATTAACAACATGATACTTCTGTGAATAATTCAGCACTGGCAACAAAGATGATAAGAAGCCTGGAGGCTCAAACATATGAAGAATGGTTGCAGGAACTTGGCTAGTCTAGTGAAGAGAAGGACCAGGGGAGACATGATAGCAGTGTTCCAATATTTGAGAGGCTGTCACAGAGAGGAGGCACTTGAAGGTCAGACAAGAAATAATGGATGGAAACTGATCAAGAAGAGATTCAACCTAGAAATAAGGAGAAACTTTCTGACAGGGAGAACAATTAACCAATGGAACAGATTGCCTTCAGAAGTTGTGGATTCTCCATTACTGGAGGCTTTCAAGAAGATACTGGATAGCCACTTATCAGAAATGGTATAGGGTCTCCTGCTTGAGCAGGAGGTTGGACAGATGACCTCCTACATCCCTTCCAACTCTGTTATTCAATTAGTACAAGGGCTTTAAAAGATGGTTGATATTATTGTTGTTGTTATCATCATCATCATCACCATCATGTGTTGTTACAGAGCCAGGAGACCACTGTGCTATTGCAGAATAGTAGTTTGGCTTGCCAAGGTACCAGCCCTGTTATAAGACATGCTTACGTGCTTCCCAAGGTGTGCCACAGGAGAGCAAGCTGGCTTTTCACCAGAGAGAAAGACGAGTGGCTCTTCCTGCAGGGCCACTCAAGGACACTTCCCTTCCTGGAGGTGCTCACAAATGGGAGAGTGCAATTGGGAAGGTCCAGAGCCATCAAAAATCTGAGCACCAGTTTGTCTCCCCACCAAACATATCTTATCTTTTTGCATAGAACATGCTTAGATGGACAGAAGCTGAGGCGAGGAACTCACCCTGCCACGCAATGCTTGATTTCAAAGCTGGAGCTGAGACCATTTCCAGCATCATTAAGATTAACTAGTTTTAAGTAGAGTGTGCTTTGTTTCCTATTAAATGAAAGCAAATGCCTAAAAATATCTGAATAAGAGACTTTTTTTAATGTATGTGCAGTGAAAGAAAAAGAGGACCTGCATCCAGATCCTGAAGGCCAGTCCATAAAAGATGAAATCTTTGGTGAATATAGGTTAGTGAGACATATCCTTCTTTGCAATGTTTGGGGTAAATAATGATATTGTAAGAATCTTCTAATAATATTGCAAGCAATAATACTTCCCGATTGCCAAATGGAAGGGGGTGATATGAAACATTATACAGAGCACTTTAGTGGAATGAATTCCATTTTTTATTAGTTTCTTGTGGATGGTTTTGTAAACATTTTGGTAAAATAAGAATAGATTCTTAGGGCATCTGGGATAGTTATTTCATTAAACAATCAGCTTGCTCATTTAATCTAGAGTGTAATATTGCTCACAAACATGCAGGCATTATTTTTCTGAAAATACAGAAATAATTCACATATATAATTAATGTACTCCAAATATGAAATGAATGAAATATTATTTGACTGGAAATACGTCAATTTCAAAATGTTTCACCATATTTCTCAAACATCTTTCTGGATCCTTAGTCAGTTTTAATAATATTATTATTTTTGCATGTGGGAGACATTTGGACGTAGATAGCAATAGCAATAGCACTTAGATTTATATACCGCTTCATAATGCTTTACAGTCATCTCTAAGCGGTTTACAGAGTCAGCATATTGTCCCCAACAATCTGGATCCTTATTTTACTAACCTTGGAAAGATAAAAGGGTGAGTCAACCTTGAACCAGTGAGGATCAAACTCCTGGCAGTGAGCTGAATTAGTCTGAAATACTGCATTCTAACCACTGCATAGCTCCATGGCTCCTACGGTAGATATTTCCCATCCCCCCCCCCAAAAAAAGCCCCCACTAATAACCCATAAAGTGGTCTGAAATTACTTGTCTGAAGTTCAAGGTTGGAGCCATTTTTCAAAGTTTGGGATTGCTTCCTGGAAACTTTCATTCTCATTCCCACCTGTCAAAAAATCCTCTGAAAAGGGGAAAAAAGTCTAAATTACGTTTGAAAAGAACAGTTTCTTTTTGGAGATTAGTTGTTTCAAGCTATTCCTATTTTCATACCTGTCCTTTCGTACAATGATGTGCATATTTTTCTGCATCCTTTCTCTAATATGTTCCACACCGAGAGAAGTGTGAATTAATTTATATCAGAGATTGAATTTGTAAGAGTACCCTGAAATCCAAATGGAATGAATTTCTCTCTCAGTCCTGATCCCTACTAATCTGTTTGTAGAAGTTCCTCCAATAAATGAAATTAGCATAATGCAAGTTTTTGCTATAACATTTGCCACTACAGTATACTATACTTACTTGCAATGGATGCGTTCGAGTATGGAAAATAATTACTAGCTCTTTGCCTTTAAGTCTGCAATTTACACCATGTAATTCATTTCAGAACTGAAGCAAATAAATGAAAATGTGTATTTTATACAAGAAAGATATAAAAAAATATATTTTCCCCACTGCTATTTCCACCCCAACCTCAAAGTAATATTAAGCTGTTTATAGATGCATCCTCCATGGATTTATTCAATCCCTTTTTAGACCCATCCAGGATTTGGATGTAACCCATCTATATTTTAATCATGCACTGTATGAAAAAGTGTAATCTTTTTCCAGTCAGGTTCATTGTGTGATTCCAGTGTCACTGCTTTGAAATAGGGAGAAAAACATTCCCCATCATGCTGGCCTCAATTATGTGTATTCTCAGCTAACAAACATCAAAACACCACTCACCAGAAGTGTGAGTTTAATTACTCCCCTGGGCCCATACCTGAAAAAAAGGTCATATCTTCAAAGCTTTCCAAAAATAGGACAGACTTGACCCAACCAAACCAAGTTACAGTATAAACCCCTGAACTCCTATTATTGTACTGTATATGCGAAATGAGGGATTTGGTCCCAGTGTGCATGACTTTACATGCATTTAATTGAACTGCATTTGCCATTGAGTACACCATTTGCCATCTTTAAAAATATTTTTCTGGAGTATTTTACTGGTACTTTGGTTTTTCCATTTTCAACTTACTGGCAGCCTTATTGATCCCACTGGGACGTTTTGTTCCTGTCAACGTTGCTATCAGAAGCGTTAAAGCTTCTGAGTCTCCCACTCCAAGGTGATAACTGACTTAGAATCAAATGTTTTGGAATATTATGTATTTTCACTGTAGAGGTACCATCAGAAGTTCTAAAACCTCGGAGCCTCTCACTCCAAGGTGGTAATTGGCTTCGAATCAAATGTCATCCCTAAATAGAATTTCCAGTGTCTCTTTTCTTAATTTTCTCTGTATGATCGAATGTGCCCTTATGCTTCTCACAAGTGTTTTTTTTTTTTTCCTGTTTCAGTGACAGTGATGAAAAGCCGCTCAAAGGAAGCTTGCGGTCTCTTAACATGGACATTAAAGGTGCAGAAAGTGCTGATAGCTTAGTAGATTATGGAGAGGGGGACCACAGGATGTTCAATGAAGACGGTTCGTTTATTGGCGCTTACGCTGGAAGTAAAGAAAAAGCCTCGGTTGAAAGCATTGGGAGTTCCACAGCTACCTTTCCTCTCCATGCATAAAATACTAGCATGAATTATTCATTTCAGATCATCGTATTTATCTTTACTTCTCATCAAATATTATACAAGGCAGAAATAGGCTGCAGAAAAGTTAAAGACCTGGACATGCAGCAGGTACAGAAACAGGCAGATGACTTAAAAAGCTGATTTTTGAAACTTACTCTTTTTTTCAAGACACTGACATTTTCGATTCATTAAAAATAAAAAAGGACTCCGAACTAAAATTTCATCATACACATGTCATTTAGTCTGACCAAAACCAAACCTTCTTCAGTGTTACATATGTATTTTGGGATCTAATTTCCTCCAGGTCTTTTACAACCCAGTTTTATAAACATCTCTAACTGGAACAGCAGTCAAAGAGTTGACATCAAATGAGTATCTGCTACAACCCTACCTTTGGCAGGCTATAGAAAGTTATAACCAAATATTATGGAGAGAAGGTTATGCTGGCATGAATGACACTGTGCTGTCCAATGGTGCTGGAAAGCTTCAGAAGCTGAGTAGTTCCACATGTCTCTACAGTATCCTTTTTCTTGGTCGGTTTTGTGCTGCACAAGGATACAATGCTAAGCCAATACATCACGTCTGCCAATACTCATTTTTGCTGGTGCGCTTAGTCGACGATAATAGTACATTATTTTTCTGTTGGGAATAACAGATAGTGTGATATATTCTACTGCATGTACTACATTCTGTACACATACTTGTTATGTTGTAACTAGTAGTAATGGGCCCTAGGTTAGAATTTCCACTTTCTTACACATTTCTGCTTCTCTGTGTACGTTTCAAAACCCTCATTTCATAGTAATTCCATATTTTTCGGTGTTACAGGGATCTCCAGGCAAAAACTCTATAGCAGCAACAAAAACATTACCTAGTGATAATAGTGCAAAGAGCGCACTCTGCGGTACGTCTTATTTTTAAAAAATATGGAAAAGGTGCTGGTGATAAGAGAATTTGTATTCTGTGCTGACAGCAAGGTATTCAAATAAACGGTAGCATGGTTAGATGATATTTTATGTTTTGCCCACTAGCTGGCACCCTTTCTTTATGCAAGCGAATTCAAAACTTTCTTTGGGTTATAGAAAGTACCGTATATGACTCTTTCAAAATTGTGAAGTTCTACTCAATCCAAACAAGTAAAAAAAAAAATCAGGAAAGAGCTGGCTTTTAAAGGAAATATGATTTTTCACTACTTCATATTTGAATGCCCACATATCTTTTCTAAATGGTTGTATATATTAAGTTTATACTGATACTTTCAGGGGAAGTCATGCTAATTTTTATTTTGTCAAGGTGCAATGGCAGCATGTCATTATGGAACTTAGTAGCAGTTTAATTCTTCCCAAGAAGTTACACTTTTGTGGATACAATATTTTTTTTTCCAAGCAAAACGTATTCAGAAACATTTCAGTTGATAAAGAATTTCCTTCTCATCCATAAAACAAAATGTTCTAAATCTCTAACTATGAATATTGTGTCTCACTTGTTAAATCAAAGCAAATGTGGTTATTGAAAAGGTTTTCTATCAATGCTTTTTCAGTCCCTTTTAGTGTATAATAGAGTTGCTACCCAAAGTTTAATTTTTTTCTGGTATACATTATAGAAAGGAAGACATGTTAATTATAACAATAAAGATACTATTGGTATGAAAAACCATCTTGGAATAATTATACTTCCCCATTTTGTTATAAATCGTTGTTGGTAGGCTTTTCCATGTCCATTTTGTTAATTTACAGACATGCAGATTATCTATTATTTACATTATTCAATGTTCCCTTTTCCCAACCCCAACCCAGATAATAAGGATGCAAGTAACTAAGCATTATCTTCAACTTAGATCCATTCGTTTTGGCTATGATTTAATATTTTGGAACTGTCAAACAGCATGTTATTTAAAAAGTAACCATTGTCTGTTCATTAGAGTCCTAATTATTTATTGTATTTGGACCCAGCACTGTTTAAAAAGATAATTTCAGCTCTTAGTCCATACTAATGGCTGCTAGGCAAGATACTACTGTTCAAGTGGTTAGGTACTAATACAGTTTTTTTTTATAAACTGTATAAACTTGACATATATCTTTTCCCATTTGGGGCTCTGGTAGTAATAGGTATAAATATTTCTTGGAGAGAAAGCAGTCCTACTATCACCTTCAATCTTCCCAAGCCCCACTAAAATTAGCCATTTTGCTTCCAAAGTTTGATGGCATGGTTTCAGTCTTGGGGGGGGCAGGATTTCAAGAGGCCATGTGCAGACAACATTTTTCCTCAATATTCAACTCCAACTATATTTGAATTATAATTTCCCTACCTTTATTTTTTAAAAGCTGTTAAAACAAAGACCAACTCTCCTTTGAGTCGGAGTCAGCACTGGAGACTGACAAACTTGGGCACCCCTCTCCAACATTCTTGCCCTACTGTTTTAATACCTTCCCAGCATTTCCAAACAAAAGGGTTAAAACAGCCATTGGGTAGAAATGTCAGAGAAGAAGGATGACCTAGATAGAACATCTCATTTGAAGAGTACTTTTCCTTTACACCTTTTTTTTTTTTGCATGTAAGTGAACCAGAAGATACAGTGTCACAATTTGCTAGTAGGACAATCCTCCTTTAAAATAAGTCCTTGCTTTATGTGGAGATTTGTTGACAAAAGTTGACCAGATTTGTATTCCTTAGAATCACAACTTTTCTCCATTTCTTTCATCTCATAATGAGAGTGTTTCTAGATGAACTGAGAATGAAGGAAGGAGAATGAACAGTTCACAGTAGGTAGTCAACTAGTCATCAGGGAGAGATTTATATTCCTGCTACCTCCATAGGCAGCCATTTTTTTAATCACAATTTTTTAAATTGTGAGGAAGAATAAACATGACATTTTGTATCACTACAGAAGTATTGCAGTTACCTTGCATTTTTTCTGTTATGTGATAATGGGCTGTTTGTCTAATTCAGATGTAGATGAATATTCAATGTTTAATGTTTCATAGTCTGAGGAGATATTCTAGTAGACTGTGAAAACCTACTAGTTAACCTTTAGCTTCAGAAGCAGTGCAAAGAATTTCTGAAGAAATGTGTTTTCTTAAGAAACAATGTTGATTGATACACACACAAACACACACAAACACCTACATTAGGAACAAAGACTACAGAGGACATTCTGATACTCAACACCTGAAAAATGACAGTATCTATGAACCTATGAAAGAACTGCTTTTTGACATATATATTCTCTTTTATTTCTCCCTAATTTTTTCTACTATGACAATTTCTCCTTCAGAGCATTGGATTCTTAAATAGATGATCCTGAGACATTAATGGTTTTATCCCAAAAGGGATATTATCTTTGAACTGATAGTTTCCAATATGAAATATCTGCATATTCCTGTAGAAGTACTTGGTTACAGTGTTTGTCGGAGAGAGAGGTGCAAAAAAGTTGATACTATAAATTGAATTGTTCATGCCAGGATATGTATTTTGATTTTAGCAGAGATGCTCTGTTTTTCCATTAATGTGAATTTTAGATGACAACAATATGATCATAAAACAGGAATAATGCCAAGGCTTTTTGTCAATATGGAGCAGAAAAAGTCTAATAATATTTGCCACTTTATAAACTGAGTTGATGAATTGTCTATCAGGAATTTGAACACACATTCTAGTTTCTTCGGCTCAAATATTTCTTGAGGTATCTCTGAAGGAGGATCTGTTAAAAATATAAAGGTCAGGCAAATTCAATTATATCTAGTTTACAGCCCAAACCATCAAGTTATGATTGTTGGTATTGTACACAACCAAGCTGTACCATTTCTTGGCATAGCAGAAATTATGACTAGTTGCTGCTCTTTGTCTATCAACAATTTAGTTTGCACTGTAATCAGTAATCAGAATTTATCCAGTAGACCTTCTATTGGCATGTTACACATGCTTCCTACAGCCTTTGAAATGATTCTCTTTAGAATCATTTCAAAGGCTGTAGGAAGCATGTGTAACATGCCAATAGAAGGTCTACTGGATAAATTCTATGACTACAACTCTGTAAATTTACCAGGGAGGAAATCCTATTTCATGTAATTTTGATTATGTGTCAGTAGACAGATGGCAGATAGACAGAAACAATTATTTAAAAGTTACAATGACAGATCTGAGAACTGATTAGAAGACAGAGAGAAAAAAGAAGAACAATGTGTCAATGAGCCAAGAGTATGCTGCCAATCATACTAGTGGTGACCTAAAACTTTGAGTTAGTATGACTGCAGAATTTAAGGGTAAAACAGGAATGAAAGCACTATGGCAAATAGAGGTGGGATGGTGAGCCTTCTGCATTCCTAAATGTCAGTTGTGGCCTAGTCGTGGACACTTCCACTTTCTATAAAGTTATATAACTACATGGTGATGAAGTAGTAGCAATAATAATAGCTCTCAATGCCCCCTATCAATCCTTTGTGATATTTCTCATTCATATCATTGAATCCTGTCCTCATTCAGCGATCTGTTCAGTATCTAAATGAAAGAGTAACCAGCCACATCTTCAATTTCCACTATTTGCACTGATATTAATTTGTTAGTCTAATCTAGACTTTCTCAACCTGGGCAAGCTGAAGATGTGTGCACTTCATGGCTGGATGGAGAATTCTGACAGTTGAAGTTCACACATCTTCAAGTTGCCAAGGTTGAGAAACATTGGTCTAACCTAATATAAATGTGTAAAGTTGTCAAATTTATATATAACACCAAATTAATCAAGGTCTCACTTAAGAAAAAAATAACCTGTGAATATTGCCGCAAATCATTTCAGTCAATTCAATTTTCTTTGCAAGGAATTAGCAGGTGCTCAGAACTTGGCCATCTTGTCTACTATTCCCCATTCTAAACCTCATGGTATAGGTTTCCTGCCTGAGCAGGGGGTTGGACTAGAAGACCTCCAAGGTCCCTTCCAACTCCGTTATTCTGTTATCCTTTTTCAGTTTGTGGCATGGTATACCTGATCCACAGCCATGGTTTTATGTAGGAATAATGTTTAGCTTCCACATAATGAGATATACTTGTATACTCTACATGGAAAGAAATATGCTCATTTAATTGAGTTTAAACAATTGGGAATGAGATTCTTGATTCCTTTCATTAAATTAGATAAAAATAAGATACATAATACCAGGGAAATCTATTCTTGTGCTGATAAAACTTCTATTGATTTAGCAGAA